GTCAGTGGGTCGTTGGGTGAGAAGTAGCAGCTATACATACGTATATTAGCTACCTCTATCCACACGAACCCACTGCTCGTCTCCAGAAACTTGTCAACTCGCAATTCTGGGTTGCACAGCTTTATGGCGGTTCTCTTCGCCTTATCCTGATACCAAGGGGCGAGGTCGCTTCCTTGATACTGCTCACTGCAGAACAGGATATCGACCTCATTTTCCCTTGCTGTTTGCATTAGGAGCAACTGTGCATCCTTACTTGTATGCAGGTTGACCTGCAAAAATTTTAAGGATTTGCCCTTTTAATCTTTTGCAGTTCTTCCCTGTAAACCGGGCAGGCTCTCTTTCCGGACACATGATCCGTTTCCGGCTTCCCCAGGTCCAAGCAAGTAAGGCACTTCGGCTTAACGTTACAGCTCTTCGCGAGGTGTCCCTCACCGCCGCATCTCCGACAGTTTTTACTTCTGTCGGGGCCTTTGCAAGATAGGGTTCTGTGTCCGTAACCTAGGCACTTTTGGCACCTAGCTACTTCAACATGCTCGCGAATTTGAGCATTTATCCAGCCGATTTTGATTCGGCCAAGTTTAAGCAGAATGTCACTTTCTGCTTCTGCTAAGCGGATTAGAGCCACCTTAGTTCTTCTAAAGCGCGTCAAAAGGTGGCACTCTATCTTCAGATCAGGTTTGCCCAGCTTATCTCTCAGAACTGAAATCACCTCAATCTCCGTCGTAGTTTCATCCAGCTCCTTGATCTCAAGAGACCTTTTATTTACGAGAGCAGTGACCTCGCATGGCAAGGCGCCATGCAGAGCCGAGAACAGTGCTTCCGCAAACTTCAAGGTATCTCCACCCTTTTTCACTATCACAAGAACCTCCTGTTTAAAGGTTCTTCTGATTTTATGAATCACGGTACCAGTGTCTTCTGGTTTAACCTTTGATTTTATCAGCGGAAAGATACCCTCATAAGATTTTGGGTCTCTTGCCGTGATCTTTACCGCTTCCGTGGTTCTAAGCTTCAAAGGGCGTTTTGAGAGCTCTGTTTTCTCGCCTGGGGGCTTATTTCTTGGAGCCCGTTCCCTTCTTTTTCCAACAACCTTAAAGCCGTCCTTATTGTCCGCTCCTTCTTTTAAGACGGTCTTAGCATACGTCTGGCTAGGACTACTTGAGCACTCCTCTTTTGCCTTGGAGTTCCTACAGTTGAAGTCCGTGGCTCCTGATCCCTGAACGGTTCAGGGATAAAACGCAGATTCCTACAAATTGTTAAGGACGCACTCTCCAAAACCGCCACGCCATCCTGGATGTCGCGACTGACGTTCTTTTGGCGCTTGAATGCCTGGTGCACGCTCTTAAAAATCCCGGGAATAGCCAGGAACTGATTTGCGACATTTGATTCGTAGCATGTCAGCTGGCTATCTATTTGGCTCCCTCCAAAATCCTTGGAGCCATCTGCACCGACTATCGGGGCTTGCACCCGATCAGAATCGGTGGTGGGATTACCCTCTTTCGGGGTACCCACTTGGAGTATTTCATTTAAAATTTTGTCCATTTCATTCATTTTTTTGTATTTCTTTGTCCCGTGTCGAGGGACAATCGCGTCTTAACAGGGTACTACCATCTGGCCAGGATGGGCCCTGAACCGCCTCCGTTAGTTACATAAACGTTATAGCATTGCCGGAGCATTGATGCGACGTCTATGATATCCAAGGGCACGTGAACATGTATGTTCGGACGTGGAGGTCGACGCTGGGCACGAAAAAATTTGACGCATAAATGCGTCAATGCCAACGAAAAGGTTAATTGAAAAATCAACAGTTCAGAGGAAACTTTTAATAATAGACAATTACAATGTATGACTTCGAGATCATTAGATAATTGTATTGATTCAAGAAATGTTACAAAATATACTAATTTAAAAAATGAAAATCAAGTAAAAAAAAGAATAATAATACGTTTTTTAGAGGAAGAAGAACAACATCAAGTCATGAAACGTCAAAAGAAAGCTGCTTTTCAAAGAAAGTTTCGACAAAAAAACAAGATAATAATAGAATTCTTAATCCTCAATCAATCCAAACAAAGGATAGTATTATTACAGTGGCTAAACCAAATATAAATTCAGCAAAATCCTCTACAACTGTTAATACATCTTTAGCAAAAGATAATGTAACTGTTACAGCAAATTTATCAAATACGAATATTTCTGGTCGTCAAAAAAATGCAGCTTATCAAAGAACTCATCGCAAAAAAAACGGAATTCTGCACAGAATCAAAATTTTTCTGACAGTATTTCAGTCTCGCATATAGAAGAACATTTTGCTGGTGCGATGAGCATTCCATGTTAGCATTGTAATGCTAAACATTTCCAAGCAGAAAGAGTATCTAATAAAAAAATTCATTTCATGATTGTTGTAAACATGGCGTCATTCAAGTCATTCTTGAAGATCTACCTGCTCCTCCACTCATATTACAAAATTTATTTGATAGCACCCACGAATTATCTGGGCATTTTCTTCATAATATACGACCTTACAATAATTCATTTAGTTTTGCTTCTTTCAACGCTAACTTAGTTAATTTTAACAATTGACGACGAGGACCATATTGTTTCCAAATACATGGTCAGGTTTATTATCAAATGAATACATCTTTGTATGCAGAAAGAAACGAGACGCATGCTTATTCCCGAAATCTTTTTTGACCAAATAGTTATTTGATATAAAACTACCTAACTTAAAATTCACATAATATGCACATTATTTGACATAAATTTCATTGCACACAAAAACCATTTAACATAAATATCATTTGTCATAGAATTCATTAAACAGAAATATTATGTTACATAAAACTCAGATAATTTAATTCCCATTTGACATAAAAATTATGTAACATAAATTTCTATTGACATAAAAATCATTTAACATAAATTTCTTTTAACATAAAACTCATTTAAAGTAAATTTTATTTGTTATAAAAATTCATTTGACATAAATTTCATTTGGCATAAATGTCATTTAACGTAATTCTCAACTGACATAAATATCATTAGACATAAAATTAGCTTGACATAAATTTCATTTGACGTGAATATCATTTGACATAATTATTATTTAACATAAAATTTAAGTTATATAAATTTCATTTAGCATAAATGCCATTTAACAAAATTCTCATGTGACATAAAATTTACTTGACATAAATTTCATTTGGTGTAAATCCCATTTAACATAATTTTGATTTGACATAAAGTTCATTTGATATAAAAGAGATTTAACACAATTCTCATTTGTCATAAAAGTCATTTAACAAAATTCTCATTTGACATAAAAATAATTTCACACAAATTACATTTTACATAAAAATATCAGTGCCGATATTTAAAAGCAACCAATTAGATATTATCAACAACATTGTGATTCGCCAATTTTGAAATTTGCGCCTATATTTCTAGGTCAAATGATCTTTATGTAAAATGAAATCTATGACACCTGAATTTTATGTCTAATGAGAATTATGTTTAATGACTTTACCGTCAAATGAAATTGATATCAAGTGAACTTTATGTCAAATGAATATTATGTTAAATGGGATTTATACCAAATGAAATTTATGTCAAGTATATTTTATGTCAAATGAGAATTATGCTAAATGAAATTTATATAATTTTAATTTTACGTTAAATAATAATTATGTTAAATGATATTCACGTCAAATGAAATTTATGTCAAGCTAATTTTATGTCTAATGATATTTATGTCAAATGAGAATTACGTTAAATGACATTTGTGCCAAATGAAATTGATGTCAAATGAATTTTATAAGAAATAAAATTTACGTTAAATGAGTTTTATGTCAAAAGAAATTTATGTTAAATGATTTTTATGTCAATAGAAATTTATGTTACATAATTTTTATGTCAAATGGGAATTAAGTTATCTGAGTTTTATGTAACATAATATTTCTGTTTAATGAATTCAATGACAAATGATATTTATGTTAAATGGTTTTTTGTGTGCAATGAAGTTTATATCAAATAATGTGCATATTATGTGAATTTTAAGTTAAGTAGTTTTATATCAAATAACTATTTGGTTAAAAAATATTTCGGGAATAAGCATGCGTCTCAAAGAAACGATACTCCTTCATTTGGACAGTTATTTATTGTTGATCAAATCGAAGCTTCCGAAATGATGGAATAGATACAGCCCTTCGGGATTGTAACCTATTTGCACAGTCCTACCGTATGATGCATGAAGAAATTAAAAAAACAATGACTGAAAATAATGCAGAAATTGAGCCTGAGATGCAATTATTATTTTCATTAAAGCCTGGGATGGATAGTAGACGTTATAATTTACAAAGTGTGAATAAAGTTGCAGCAATTTTTACTACAACTGCTGATGGTGATCTTGATTATCATTCTCATAAACATTTCTTTTTCAATTTTTCTTAAAAACATTTATTATATTTGCGCCATTATTCTCATTGTAAGTACTTTTGTTTAAAAAAATTAAAATATTAAAAAAAGGAATGCGCAAGAGAAAAAACGCGCGCGCTGGAGCGCGCGATCGTTCTCGTATTGAAATAAAATATAATAAATGCTAATAATTTCCATGTTACTCATGTATAACGAAAATAATGCAAAAATTCTAATTGAAAAATTTATAACAAAACATTAATAATAAAGATTTCAATTTATTTTTCAATTTGTAAACTGTAATAGAGTTTAAAAACAATTCTTTAAAAATTCCGCATTTTAAAATTCGAAATCTGTGTTTTTGTGCCTGCGCCTCCGCATCGTAGCCATTGGGTCTGGCAACATTGTGATGAAACCATTAATCACGGAAAACGCAACTAAAAAGAACAATACACGAGGTAGGTGTACAATATTATTAATCTGTTTGAATCTCGATTAAAAAATGTTATTATTAGCTTAGAATCATGAAATAAAATAAATAAGGTCATTTTTATTTTAATAACATAAAAATTTTTTTATTGTTAGGTAAAAAAATGTCGAAAAATAATTATGAAGGAAGCAAGTCAAATCAAAGTGGCGAAGATGAGAACGACAAAAACCGAGGTAAACGCATTTATAAAAATTTAATATTTTAGTAAGCTTTATTTTTGAAAGAAATGTACGATAAATATCTTAGGGGAGTGTAAGGTATGGTGGCGGACACTTTCTTTTTTGCGTCTCTCTCTCTCAAAAGACAATATTTTTCAAAATTGCAAAAGCAGGCATTTGCTGACATCTATTAAGCATATTTCTGTCAGAAGCGGCTGTGAAAATTTAAATTCAGTAAAATTTTACAGCTCTTGGCGCAAAAAACTGATTTTTTTTATTTTTGAAAGTTGTAAGGTATGGTAGCGCATTTGGTGTATTTAACTAAAATATTATGTAGATGTTAAAATTATTTATTAAAACTACTAGAAATGATGAAAAATAACAAAAAGAGAAAAAACTGATGATTTTACATTATAGAAAAAAAAGTTTCACTTCAGTTATGGTTACAATTTGGACATGTGAAGTAGCTGGTGGCTGTTTTAACGCAACTAGAATAAGAGAAGACTGCAAGTGTCACATATTCGAGAATTGTTCCGTTGGAGCACATGAGGCATTAGTACACAAAAAATGCAAAGACAATTGAAACTCGTGCAAAAAATGATCCGCCACTGTACGTTACAAAAATTGCGCCATCATACCTTACAAGCTATTGATGAAAATATGATGGTGTTACTTTTATACAGCGCGAATTGAGAAAAATGTAAAATATAAAAAACTGTTGTCCAAGGTCTAAACAATACGTTCTATACATTTACCAGACTCAATTTTAAAAAAATATTCACTCTGGCACTGTTAACACACATATCCAATAAAACTTTTTTTCTTTTTTTCACTACTTTTTTATTCAAAATCACTTAAAGTACAAAGCACGCGTTTGATCATTAATACTACTGCATATAAAATGTCATCACGATAAAAGACATCGACCATAGTGATAAGGCGCTTCAGATGTGACGTTACATGCCATATTTGACAAGTCCGCCACCATACCTTACATTTCCCTATAATATTACACTTTATTTTACAGATAATGGAAAAAGAATGAGAACAAGGAGTCTTGAAAACCCATCGACAAATAAAGAAAATCGAGGAAGAAAAAAGTGTCAACGTAACGAGGAGATTCAGCGACGAAAGGTAATAACAACTTTCAAAACCAGAGAATGCAGGGAAAAGTCAGGGAAATCAGAGAATTTAGAAAAAAGTCAGGGATTTTTATTAATAGTCCCAGTGGGCAAAAAACCATCATTGTTTTAAAAACGTTCCAAAAACGTTTTAGAACGTTTCTTGTCTGCAAAATAATGTTCCAAAAACGTTCCATTGCTTTTAAAACGTTTTAGAACCATATAACGTTTTTGGCACATTATTTAGCAGACATGAAACGTTCTAAAAACGTTTTTGGAACGTTTTTAAAACAATGATGGTTTTTTGCCCACTGGGGTACTGGCAAAAATTAAATCTTTTGAATTCATAAGAAAATTCTGAATTTTTGTTGTCTTTTTTGTTTGTCTCGTAAACAATAAAACCACTATGAATTCTAATACAAATAATTGAAGTTTTTTTCTATTTCTGACAAGAGTGGATTTTTCACAGAAATTCAATGTTTTAGAAATTTTAATAAAATTCTTTGCAAAATTCAATTATTCACATAAATAACAATATTTACCACAAGAATTCTATTATTTTCAAAAGTAATAAAATTCTTCGAAGAAATTAATATATTTTTAAAAATTTTAAGGAATTACTCATCAAGAATTCAATTATTTTTATAAATACCGTCCACCGGGGCTATTTTGTGCACCAAATAGCTTTTTTTATTCAAAGATTTATATAAATTTAGAATTAAGAGAATAAAGAACATCAACTTTTGATATATGTTGTGGACATCCTTCTGAAGCTTTCCTATAAATTTGGCAAAGAAAAAAATTTTTTTGTCTTAGTTATAGTCATTGAAAGTCGTGCACACAATAACTCCCGGGATGGGGCTATTTTGTGCATCGAACTTTGTTTTCCTATAATGGTGCGTAAACATTTTTTTAATTGTTTCTGCTTCATAAAATCTTTTGTGTATATATTTGAGAGTAAGTTAAAAAAAGAATGACCTAGTAAAATTTTTTTTGTAGATATATTATACAAAAAATGTAAAATAAAGCACTAAAATTTTGCTAAAATCTGAACTTACTAAAAATTAACAATCTTTCTTTAAATTGTATATTACGCAGATAGTAAATAACATTTTTTTCTTTTTTAATATATATTTTATAATAATATACTAATATAATTATAAAATGATCGTTTAAACACTTATAAATAAATTTAAAACATCATTTCAATAGGAGCTTTTTTAATAGTTTTGAATGACATTTTTAAAAAACTTGAAATAAATATTTTTAAGGTTAAATAGATAACAATTTAATATCTAATATGTTTTTCAAGTTATTTTAAGAGAAACGAGAAAATAGTTTTAAAACTAATTTGAAAAACTTATAAATATTAATTAATGTTCATTTTTTGAGGTTACGTTGTGCACCGATTGAGCTTTTAATCGTTTTAATGATTTTAATTAACGTATTTACAGTTTTTTGACAGAAAAGTAAGACAAAAATGTATAAAAATGATAAACAGAATCTTCTTTACTTACTAAATAAAATATTTATGAAAAATATTTGATTTTTTTAAGTGCACAAAATAGCCCCATGGAATCCTGGTTTTTCAGTTTTTTCCACTTTTCTCTTAAAATAATGAATAAAATGTTAGCGCATTACGTATGTATCATCACAACACAATTGAAAACAAATGTCTAACACAGTTTATGAGACACATTAAAACTCTAGAAGATCTGGTATAATTTTTCCGAACTTTCAAAATTTTTTAAACAAATTTTCCGTTTTTAGGAATTTTGATTTAATTCTCCGAAAACATTCAATTATTTTCATAAATAATAAAATTTCGAGGCGCATGAAAAGTGTCCAATTTTTATTTTCCGAATCTTCATTTAATCGAAATTCTTTTTATCGAATAAGAATTAATTATAATTTCTTTTAATCGAAAGAATAATTGTCAAAAACATTATTTTTTTGAATGACTAATTAACAGAATGTTTAATACTGCGAAAGAAAATTTTTTATAATCTTTAAATAACTGAATTATCATTTCTAAAAATTATTAATTTTTATATTTCTTATTTACATTAATATTTTCATTTTCGAAATGTCAATTTTGATAAATATTATTTTACAGATTTGTTAATAATTATAATAATTATATTCCCGAATTATTAATTCAATATAATTCAAATATTACCGAATTACCAATTCTTAAAAAATTTATTGTTCCTAATAATATTTTTTATAATGTGTAAATGTTCTAAATTCTAAAGTCTCTAAACTTTATTTTTTCGAAATATCAATTGTTATAAAACTTTTTTCTTATAAATGTTTTTAAAAATAATTTTAACTTTTTCGAATTAACATTACTAATAATTTTCTTTACTTCTAATCATTCTTCTTTATAATTACTATATTTTGTAACATGTATTTCTTCTAAGTATAACTTTACCGAATTGTCACTTCTCATAATTATTATTATATCGAAATATTATTTTTCAAAATTTTTGTAATATCTAATAATTTTTTATACAAATTTTTTTATTGTATAATAACCTGTTTTTATAATTTTATTTTATTTGAATAATTATTTCGTATAATTTTTTTCTTACCGAAATTATATTTTAAATAATTTTGTTTAATCGATTTTTTATTTTTCCTAATATTCATTTTTCCAAATAATTCTTTTTCATAATTTTTATATTTCCCAATTCGTATTTTACATAACATACAATTTTTCTAAGATTCAAATTATCTAATTTATTATTTGCCTAACCTATAAATGTCATAATAAGAATTGCACTGAATAGTTATTTCACATACAGAATAAACGGTTTCGACGTTTCCCATCTCTGAAGAATATGGCGCCAAATTTGAAAAAAGTTTATTATTTTATTATATAACATATATTAATTATTACAAATATTGTTTAAAACAATTTCCCTAATGATATTTAGCGTAGTTAATTGGTTTAAACAATATTTGTAATAATTAATAATTTTTAAATAATAAAATAATAAACTTTTTTCAAATTTTGCTCTACATTCTTCAGAAATGGGAAACGTCGAAACCGTATATTCTGTATGTGAAATAACTATTCGGTGCAATTCTTATTATGACATTTATAGGTTAGGAAAATAATAAATTAGTGAATTTAAATCTTAGAAAAAATATATATGTGAAATACGAATTAGGAAATATAAAAATTATGAAAAAGAATTATTTGGAAAAATGAATATTAGGAAAAATAAAAAATCGATAAAAAAAATTATTTAAAATATAATTTCGGTAAGAAAAAAATTATACGAAATAATTATTCGAATAAAATAAAATTATAAAAACTGGTTATTATACAATAAAAAAATTTGTATAAAAAATTATTAGATATTACAAAAATTTTGGATAATAATATTTCGATATAATAATAATTATGAGAAGTGACAATTCGGTAAAGTTATAGTTAGAAGAAATACATGTTACAAAATATAGTAATTATAAAGAAGAATGATTAGAAGTAAAGAAAATTATTAGTAATGTTAATTCGAAAAAGTTAAAATTATTTTGAAAAACATTTATAAGAAAAAAGTTTTATAACAAATGATATTTCGAAAAAATAAAATTTAGAGACTTTAGAATTTAGAACATTTACACATTATAAAAAAATATTATTAGGAACAATAAATTTTTTAAGAATTGGTAATTCGGTAATATTTGAATTATATTCAATAATAATTCGGGAATATAATTATTATAATTATTAACGAATCTGTAAAATAATATTTATCAAAATTGACATTTCGAAAATGAAAATATTAGTGTAAATAAGAAATATAAAAAATAATAATTTTTAAAAATGATAATTCAGTTATTTAAAGATTATAAAAAATTTTCTTTCGCAGTATTTTTTTTTTTTGCTTAGGGAATTTTGGGAAATCTGCCTACAGATACCTTGGATTCCGCACTCCAAGGTTATGTGGGGTTGGTGTGATAAAACAAAAGTAAATATAAAAAAAAAGAAAAATAAATATATAAAATAGAAAATTTAATAAACTGGCGACCTACTGCCAGCCCGACCCACTAAAACCCGTAACCCTTCTTCTGGAGCCCTTTACCCTCCCTCGGAACTGTCGTAAGACTTAAGCCTTCGAGGGTGGCGCTCCAACTCTGTCGCCAATGCAACTTTCTGCCTTTCTCTGCGGTTATCCTGCGTCTTATTGCCAATCTTTTCCTTGCACAAAAAGCAACTTGAGTTGTTTTTACAGTTGGAGAACCTGTGACCGGCCTCACCGCACTTAAAGCACGCAGCCGATCTCTCCTCCTTCTGGCATTTGGCTCCAATATGGCCGTATCCCAGGCATCGATGACACCGGACGACCATTACTCTTCTTTTGATTGGGCAACACATAAAACCAATTTTTACGTGTCCCAATTTCTCCAGCCTGTTCGCCTCTTCCAGGTTGGTGACTACAACCGCGAGCTTCATCCCTCGGCGGTTGGGTCCTAAGACCGTCACTCTCCTGTTTACTGGCTTACCCATTGCTTCAGACAACACTTTTTGCACCTCAGCTTCTTGGGTAAGGCAATCCAAATCACGGATCTCGAGTGTAACTCTTAGATCCAATGACTGCACCTTACCCATGCTTCCAACCGCCTTGGTGACCTCAGCGGTGAAAGCGTCCTTATCGGAGTCTCCTCTGAACTTAATCAGAAGATCCCCCTTGTTTGTAGCTTTTGCTGCTACTATTCTCGTATGGCTGTCCTCTGGGTTGACTTCTTTGCGAAGCTTACCCAGAACGTCAGCATACGTCAATCCTTCACCGACTCGGATTAGAACTGTGGATCTTTTTGACCCAATTCTTTCCAATTGAGGAATCTTTGGATCTGGTACTTCCGTTTCCATTGGAGGAGCTTCCTCCTTCTTCTTCATATCGGTTTTGGTTCGAGTCTCTTCTGGACTGTCACCCTCTCTCTTCCGTTTCTGAGCATCTCTTAAGACGCTTTTGAGATTACGCCTATAGAAACGCTCTCTCTCTTTCTTACGGTCCTTGCGGTTGCATTCCGCACCGCTCAGAACGCATGCCAAATCGACGTCCGACTCATCAGCCGCGGCATGCTTTGCCCTTGCCTCCTTTAGCAGGACGTCGATGACCTTGAGTCCATCCTTTACCGTCCTATTGACGGTCTTCTGAATGTCGCAAGATTTTATCATCTTTGCGACCTCCAACTCCATTTTTTCGAGACAAGTCGCCTCCTCCTTTCTGAGCCGCAAGCATATCTCGCGAGTCTCTTCTATCGCCTCGTCGTCTACTTCTGAGTGGATAGCGCTATGAACGGTTTTTCCGCTACTGCAGCTTGACACACTCAGAAGGCTCGACGTGCTTCCTTTCCTCGTTTTTTTATTTTCCACGATGTTCTGTGGATCTACCCTTTCCACGATCACTCGTGGCACTGCAAGAAATTGTGCGCCCCCACAATCCGCGCGCACTTGAGCATCGGTCCTGGGACCGATGGTGAGATTTCCCGTTTCCGGCCTACTCACATGGGGTGCCTTCTCAGAATTTTTTGAATTCATTTTTTCTTGCTGTTTGGTTGTCCTTTAGTTGAAAGCCCCGCTACCACGACAAGGTCTACCGAACATATCCATGATGTCAATCATGTCTGGCAGTGGATATGAATCCACTTCTCCCAGCACATCGAAGACATCGATGATGTTCGGCAGTGGACAACCAGCGTTCTTTCGCAGTATTAAACATTCTGTTAATTAGTCATTCAAAAAAATAATGTTTTTGACAATTATTCTTTCGATTAAAAGAAATTATAATTAATTCTTATTAGATAAAAAGAATTTCGATAAAATAAAGATTCGGAAAATAAAAATTGGAGACTTTTCATGCGCCTCAAAATTTCATTTAGGATTTCAATTACTTTCATAAAGCAGAATTTCTAATATTTAAAATACAATTCTTGAAAAATGCAATTATTCTTCAAACATTTTTAAGTAATTCTACAAAAGAATTCTAAATTACCTTCATAAACAACAAAATTCTTCCCATAAAGAATTAAATTATTGTTCACAATTTCGTAAAATTCTTCGCATGAATTCAATTATTCTTAGAAATTTTAATAAAATTTCAGATTCATGTATTAGCAATAAATAAAAGAATGAGGCTTATCACTCATCTACTTAAACCGACTATTTACTACTTTCTTTACGTTATATGCTACTATTTGGGTACTACTTTTTTATATTTCAGCCACTTAAATCTACTATTTCTGTTTTTTTAGAATTGACACTACTTTAAATTCGCTAGTACTAGAAATCAAAAAACTATTCTCAAAAATTGTAATCAAAATTCTTTAAAACGATTTAAGTATTTTCAAAAAATATTCGAATTTTAATTATTTTCATAAAATTTCGCAAAAAAATTTAATTACTTGAAAAAAATTTAAAAAATTTGTCCCAAATTCAATTATTTCCATACATAATAAAATTTTCACAGGAAATATTTTCATAAATATTAACCCTTAAACCGCACCCTGGGTGTAAGACACCCATATTCTAGCTTTTTACTCTAATATCTCGTTTAAAGTAGTAAAAATTGAACATATGTCGCTATTGGACGACACATGTTGTACTTAACTTTATGTTTCGTGAGGGACATTAGTCTCCCAAGTGTCTTTGTGTATTTAATAACTTTATGAAATTAACAGCGAAAAATTTCTGGGTAGCTGTTACCCAGTTTTCGGTTTAAGGTGATTTTAGTAGTTTTAAAAAACATTTTTTTAATTATTAAGATTAAACAAATCATTATAAAACTTATTTTCCTTCAAAATAGATGTACTGAGCTACATAAAATAATTTCTCTGAAACATAATATCCTTTTCCAGCTTGGAGAACACACTTTAAAGTCCCCAGGTGTCAAACACCCAGTGTGCGGTTTAAGGATGGATTCGGAAGTGTGCGGTTTAAGGGTTAAAACTCATCGAAGAATTTCAATTACAATTTTTGTAATACTATTTTAAATTAATTAATCAGAAAATTCAAATATTTTCACAAAAAATTTTTTCACAAGAATTCAATTATTTAAAAGAAAATTTTCATAATATTTATTAGATTTCGAAGAAATTCATTATTTAAAACAAAGTTTATAAAATTCTTCTAAAGAATTCAATTGCTTTCAAAAAAAACAAAATCTTTTACAAAAATTCAATTCTTTTTAAACATTTTAATAAAATTTTTCGCCATAATTCAATTATTTTCATAAAAATAATAAAATAATTCTTCTCAGGAATTCAATTATTTTTGAAATATTTAATAAAATTCTTTGCAACTGTTTAATTATTTTCATAAATAATGAAAGTTTTCGCAAGATTTCGATTATTTCTAATTAAAATTAAAGTTTTAACAAAATTTCTCCAAAAAATTCAATTATTTTTAACAATTTAATTTCAATTCCTCGAAAAAATCAATTATTCAAAAAAGTGTTGTTTTCAACTTTTTTAGAGGAATTCAATTATTTACAGTACCGGCCAAAATTGTCAGTCCACCCATTTTTGAAGGAATGAAAAAAATTTTTTAACATGAAATGTATGAAAACTCAATTTTTTTTGGTTTATATTTTGAAAGGCGATAAAATTTTGAAAAGAATAAGACCTCACAGAAGTCATTTGGCAAATATTTTTTCAAGATATTCTTAAAAAATCGTCATTTTCAATGTTTTACAAAAATTTGAATAACTTCTAAAATAATTAACGCTTTTTAATAATCTTAGGCTTATTTTAAAGGTCATTTTCTACAGAATAAGAATTACTTATAGGCATTAACCTGTAATTTTTTTCTTGGAATAAGCATGACGTCAAAGTTGGACAAAAAAATTGGAAAAATTTGAAATAAATTTTTTGTACTAAAAACTATTCTAGAACATATATAAAACATATGGTGTAGATTCTTCAAGAAAATTTAATAAAAAAATATGTTTAAATTTCAAAAATTATTTTTCTTTTAATAATATTGTTTCAAATTTTTTGATTTTTTTGTCCAACTTTGACGGCATGCTTATTCCAAGTAAAAAATTACAGGTTAATGCCTATAAGTAATTCTTATTCCGTAGAAAATGACCTTTAAAATAAGCCTAAGATTATTAAAAAGCGTTCATTATTTTAGAAGTTATTCAAATTTTTGTGAAACATTGAAAATGACGATTTTTAAGAATATCTTCTACAAATTTTGGCCAAATGACTTCTGTAAGGTCTTATTCTCTTCAAAATTTGATCGTCTTTTAAAATATAAACCAAAAAAAAATTTAGTTTTCATGAATTTTATGTTAACAAATTTTTTTCATTCCTTTAAAAATAATAAAATATTAAATATTAAATATTAAATATTATTAAAAATATAAAAATATTAATATTCCCAAAATATTAAGAATCAGATGCTTAAGTTAAAGTACTTTCCAATTATTCTTTTCTTCCTTTTTTCAGTTTTTAGGTCGTGTAACCTAAACTTTAAATTGTTGTACCTTAGTGAAAAAAAGTCGGATCGGATGGGGTGTAGAATATTCTGAAAGGTGAATAATTGTACTTTCCTTTAAAATTTGTTCGAATGATAAACAAAAATTTTGTAGATTTTATTGAGAGTCGAATGTTGCCAAAAATGGCCTTTTTTACTCTTTTAGGTTAGAATATCTCAGAATCCTGACGTGATAGAGCAATTTCGCTGCTAGTTTTGGATTCAGGGTGGCATATTACATCGGAAATGACTTATCCCGTTTCTGGGTCTGACAAAATTCTAAATTTTGTAGGCCTGTGTTTTCAGAGTGAATCAGAAAATTCTTTATGGTCGGGAAAAAATCAAAATTCTGTCTGGAAATCAGGGAAAAATAAGTTTTAATTTTTGTGTCAACCCAGTTAAATTTCTTTAATGATCAAAAAATAATTTATTTTATTTTTAAAAGATTAATATTTTTTTTAACTAACGATTTCTATTGTTTATTTCAGAATATTCATAGAGATGTACATAAAATGTTAGAAGAAGTCCTGGAAAAACATGGCATAAAAAAAAAGAAAATTTCAAAGGAGGACATGGTGCTAAAGGAGGACGTGGAAACAGGGGTGGTAGAGGAGGACGTGGAGGCGGAAGAGGAGATTGGAATGGAGGACGTCGTGGTGGATACGGTGGAGCAGGCATTACTGTTTAAGTGTTTTTTACATGTATTCATTTAATGTTTATTTATATTATTTCACTACTACTATTATTAGTTTTATCATTGTCTTAAAATATTTTATTTCTTGAAAAATTGCAATACACTACATTACAATTATTAAAATTTCGCTTTTGAAACTGTTTTAGTTTATCTAAACTGTAAACTACTCGATTTACGAAAAGAAAAAAAAAGTTTATTGATATTTAAATTTCATTAAATTTACTTGCCATTAAAACAATTCGTTATTTTGTGTCTATTTATATGTACCTGCCATGCGAGTTTTTGTAAATTTTAAACGTTATTCAATTACTTTTTTATAGATAAGTTTAGTTTGATAGAATATGATTTGATAAAAATCATCAACTAAAAATATAGTTTTGGTGTAGGGATATCCTTTAATTTCTTCTAATAGTGTTTGTGAAATTATTTTCAAGAAACTTTAGTTTTATTTTACACTATCATAAGTACAATATTAACAGTTTTTTATTGGTTATAAAATGACTGTCCAGTTTTTTACAGTTTTATAGTAATTTTATGTAAAAATTTTTTTATAGAAAATTAAATTTTATTTCTTAAAGTGTTCTTTAAAGTTAAAGAAGCAAAATAACAAAACCAGTGTTGCCACACAAAATTTTTGATTTACCGTAACTTCACCCTGATTATCAGACAAAATTTGGATTTTTTCCCTGACCCTAAGAAATATTTTGATTCATTAAAAAAATTATTAGATACTCAAAAAAATGTCCTATTACATTAATTAACAAATTTCTTTAATTGTAAAATTATTCGAAAACATCATTAACTTCATTTTAAAATAAGTATTTAATCATTATTAATTTTCCATTGGAATTAAAATTTTCAATATTTTCGAATTTAAGCCTTTTAAAATTCAATAACTTATAATAATTAAAGATCATTTAATTTTAATGGTTATTTTCTACAATTTTTCAACTAAAATTCTTCTTTAAATCAATTATTTTTAATAATTTTTTTAAAAGTTCTTCTTCTGAGAATTTTTAAATCTTTTTGTTTGCAATTCATTTTTACGTGAAATTTCGATTGTTCGGAAATTCTTCAATGGAATATATATTATAGAAAATAAAAACTTGAAATAATTTTAAATAATTATGATTAAGTTTTTGAAAAAAGATTAATTTCATATAATTTTTAATTAAAAGTATGAAAAGTTCAGATTTTCAAAGATTTGAATTTGAAACCTTTACAAAATTCAATTATTTCCAAAAAATTGCATTTATTAGTAACTTTTCTAAAATTCAATTATTATCTAAAACTTTTACTGAAATTAATTTTTAAATCAATTTTTATACATAATTTTATTAACAAATTTTTAAATAATTTAAATAATTGAATTATTGAGAAGCAATTTATAAATAAAAATGTGAATAATTAAATTCATAAAAAAGTTTTATAACCTATGAAAATAATTAAATATTCGTATAGAATTTCTTCAAAATTGTTTTATATAATTAAATTATTTGGTGAAATTTTATTAAAATAATAGATATACAAATAATTGAATAAGAATTTTTTTTTTAAATAAGTATATTTATTTTACTCTTCCTGCTCACACCTCTCCTCAGCCAATTCAAGTTTCATTAAAGTGGTGACTTAAAATTATGGATGGATATTGTTAAGGACATCGAAAGTAATCAAATGCAAGTTTGCGAAAAATTCCAGCTGCTCCCCTTTTTAAAATATCGACGAAAACGTTTATTTTTATTAAAAAAATACCAAATATGCTAATAATGTACATATATTTATATATTTTTTTAATATATTTTAAAAAATATTTCTAAATTTATAAAATTTTGATTGTAACATATTTTTACAAAAAGAAATTTAAAAAAATTGTCTGATAAATTAAAATAAAATGATACAAAAAAAGGACCTTGCAATTGCTATATTTGTTTAACAGCAAGATCTACCACTCATTCAAAAGTTATAACAGGTAATGGTTGTGAACGAAAATTCGAAATCGAGATAAATGCGGAAAATGGTCTTTATGCAGCTTCAACCTTAGAAAAAAGTTGTAATTCTACAAACGTTGCTGAAACACCTGCGAAAAAGGATATTAAAATTTGTAAAATTTGTTGCGGAGAGCTCGGTAAAGGAATGCATCATGAGTGTAATAGTAAACGTATTTTGGTGGATAATTTACGAAATATAGTAATGAAGTTTCCTGAAAACGTCCAAGATAAAGTTGTAGTATCCATTTTAAAAGAAAAAGGTAAAAATAATAAATCCTCGCAGTCATTAGAACCAGAAAAATTGAAACTGCAGAATTACGGCCGACATGACACAACAATTGTTCTGAATCCTAAAGAAAGTAAAAAAACGATTTTTAAAACTGAGAAATTGGATAATTTACAAAACAATTTGGGATTACCTTCAAATAAAATGAGAATTTTTGAGAATTTCATTCGTTGCAACGCTGGAAAAAACGCAATTCCGAAGAATTATAGAAATCACGCGATTGAAAAAGGCAAGATTTTAAAAGATATATATAAAGTAAGTAGTCACGATTTTGATGTTGAAGGGGACAATGCGAAAAAAAATAGGCCTATCGTGTATGCTGATTGCGAAGAATTACTAGAAGCTGTCGTAGAGCATCGTAATCTAGTAGGAAATTATTGCATAAAAGTTATGGCTGATTCGGGACAGGGTTTCTTCAAAATTTCAATGTCGGTATTTACTAGAGATGAAGGTAAAGTTGATTCTGATTGTGATCCTACGCCGGCCAAAAGATCAAAATATTTCGAAGGAGGTCGAAGTGGTAGAGGCGCTGCGTTGACTAGTGTAAACAAAATCATTATGATTTGTATAGTGCCAAAAATTAAAGAAAGTTATGATAACCTCTTTTACTTATGTAAATTAATAAATTTGAACAATGTGCCATTCAAATTCGCATGTGATCTTAAGCTGCTATTAACCATAAACGGACAACAAACCGCCAGTGCAATGTATCCATGCCCATTTTGTTTTATTTCATTGCGAGATTTGAAGTCAGGCCATCTCTTCTGGAAAGGATTAGTTCCTCTACTAGGACGTGAAACTGCTCTTATATGGCCTAAAAAACTAAAAGTAGTGCCAAAAAATTATCAGGGTGAAATATTCGAAGGCAACGCTTGCAGAAAATTATTGAAACATGCTGACCAACTGTATGACGAAGAAATTTTTCAAGGTGCTAAAAAACTGCGAATCGAGTCTTTTGTGGTATCCTTCAAGATAATGAACGAAATTGTTCATAACTGCTTTTCAACTACTAGAAAAAATGAGGCTGACCTTGCAATAAATATTGAAGATTTGAAGAAATTTTTTGATGCCACTGACGTATCTGAATCGCTTAAAATTCATATAATTCTAAACCATGTTTTGCAATGTTTATTATTTCTGAATGATGACGATGGCCTTGGCCTGTGGTCCGAACAGCCCGGTGAATCAATTCACAAGGAATTTTTATTGTATTGGAATCGTTACAAACTAAATTCGATGGAAGACCCGTGTTATGTTATTCAACTACAAAAGGCCGTAGTTGAATTTTCTTCTCGACACCTCTAGTTAAAATAAGTTATTAACATATGTCTACATATGTATATATATGTTATTAGACATAAGTATACGAAATGTAAATATTGTTGTTAATCCATTGCTGTTAATATAAAATTGTTATAATTTGATGAAAAATTAGTGTTTTTAATTTAAAAAATTGGTCAAGGAAATGACAAGTTCCATACACCAATATTATTATTTAAATGTTCAAAATTAAATTCTTCGCTTTTTCACTGAAACGTATTTAAAATTTAATTTGTACAAATTCCTTGACAAGGCTATGCCCATCACCTCCAATCACATTCCTTTTATTTTTCCAGTAATCTACGTGTAAAAATACTTGTCGGTAACATATTTCAGCTCTCTAGGTTAAATAGTTAAGTCGTTTGGAGGGGGGGCACAAAATTGTCTACGGACGCAAGAGTCTCACCAATAGGATTTCGTCGGTACATCTACTGTATACGGAACCCTAAAAAGAGTCTCACAAATATGGTTCTGTCGAACACCGTGGGTGTATGGAACCCTAATAACGTTTCTTTCAATATTTTGAAAAGGGGGGCAGCTGGGATTTTCTGCAAACTTGCAATTGACTACTTTCGATGTCCTTAACAATATCCATCTATAATTTTAAGTCACCACTTTAATGAAACTTGAATTATCTGAGGAGAGGTGTGTGCTCAATGCAGGGTTCGAGGACCCATAATACATAAAAACTTTAAATTAATTTTTTTTAAATATTAAATTACTGTAACAAATATTGTTATTTGTAAAAATAATTAACTTCCTCGGAATGATTTTAATATTTATGAAAATAATTAAATCCTTGAATGGAATTTAAAAGTTTATGAAAATAATAAAATTACGGCGAGGAATTTACTGTCAGTTTTTAAAATATTTGATTATTTTGAAAAAATTTATGTAAATTCTATTTTAAATAATTGAATTCATGTCAAATTTTTATTGTTCTCGAAAATAATTTAATGTTTGTGTAGAAGTTATTATTAAAATTTTTGTTTATTAATTCAATTCTATTGCAAAATTTTATTATAATAGTAGAATATTAACCCTTCTGCGTACCTATTTTCACCCATAAAATTGTTTCCAAATGCACAAATTTTTCACACTGTTGGATTTTTCTACAATTTGGTACCTAGGGGTTTTTGGGGTCGCTGATTACGAATCTGAGGTCAGATTTAAAAAATTCAAAATGGCGGATCCAATATGGCGGATGAATTTTTAAAAAATTGTTTGATTGTAATGAAACTTGGTATGTAGGGGTTTTTGGGGTCGCTGATTACGAATCTGAGGTTAGATTTAAAAAATTCAAAATGGCGGATCCAATATGGCGGATGAGTTTTTAAAAAATTCATCAAAATTTCTTGAAAATTTATAATCGGGGGTTTTTGAGGTCGCTGATTACGAATCTAAGATCAAATTAGGAAAATTCAAAATGGCGGATCCAATATGGCGGACGAATTTTTAAAATATTGTTTGATTTTATTAAAAAAATTTAATGAA